TTATATTATAAATAATAATAAAATTTATTAAAGAATTAAAATGTTTATAAAAAAAATGTTCATTAAGTGAGAAATAAATAATTATTGAATTTTTAATTTAATGCACATTTAATATAAAGTCTGGATTTAATTATGGGAAATTTTAAATCTTTTTTTTAAAAAGTTAAAAACATATGGTAAATTTTTCAGTGGATCAGATTAGAGAGATCATGGATAAATAAGACAACATTAGAAACATGTCTGTCATTGCTCACGTTGATCATGGTAAATCAACACTTACAGATTCATTATTATGCAAAGCCGGTATTATCGCTTCCAAAGTTGCTGGTGATGCAAGAGCAACAGATACAAGAGAAGATGAAAAAGAAAGAGGTATTACAATAAAGTCCACTGGTGTTTCCCTTTATTATGAATATGACATTTATGACAATAAGACATTAGAGAAATTTTTAATCAACTTGATTGATTCTCCAGGACATGTTGATTTCAGTTCAGAAGTTACAGCTGCCTTAAGAGTTACAGATGGTGCCTTAGTCGTTGTTGATTGTGTTGAAGGTGTTTGTGTTTAAACAGAAACAGTGTTAAGATAAGCTATGTAAGAGAAAATTAAGCCAGTTGTTATGGTTAATAAGATTGATAGAGCTATTTTGGAATTAAAACATGATGGTGAAACAATGTATTAAAACTTTGTTAGAGTTGTTGATATGGTCAATGTTATTATTAACACATATTAATAAGAAGATATGGGTGATCTTCTTGTTCATCCAGAACTTGGATCAGTCTCATTTGGTTCAGGAAAAGAATGTTGGGCTTTCTCATGTACAAGATTTGCTAGAATCTATGCTAATAAATTCAAGGTTGAACCACTTAAATTATAAGAAAGATTATGGGGAGATAATTATTTTGATGCTGAAGGAAAATGTTGGAGAAAAGACAGTGTTAGTGGATCAGGAAAACCAATGAAGAGAGCTTTTGTTGCTTTCATCATGGACCCAATCTGTAAATTGGCTAATGCTGTTATGGAAGGTAATATGGAAATGGCTAATAAAATGTTTGAAACTTTGGGATTGAAACTCACATAAGAAGAAGCTAAATTAGAAGGAAAACATTTACTCAAGGCTGTCATGTCTAAATGGATCAATGCTGCTGATACATTATTAGAAATGATTGTTTGCCATTTACCATCACCAAGAAAAGCTTAAAAATACAGAACATCATATTTATATGAAGGACCATAAGATGATGCTATTGCTTAATCCATGAGAGATTGCAATCCAAAAGGACCATTAGTTATGTATGTCTCTAAGATGGTGCCAACAACTGATAGAGGAAGATTCTTTGCTTTTGGTAGAGTTTTCTCTGGTACAATTGCTACTGGATAAAAAGTTAGAATTATGGGAGCCAATTACAAAGTAGGAAAAAAGGAAGACTTATTTGAAAAAGCTATCTAAAGAACTGTTCTTATGATGGCTAGCAGAGTCGAATATATCCCAGATGTTCCATGTGGTAACACAGTCGGATTGGTTGGTGTTGATCAATATTTAATGAAGACTGGTACCATCTCAGACCACGCAGATTGTCATTTGATTAGATCAATGAAATACTCTGTATCTCCAGTTGTCAGAGTTGCTGTTTAACCAAAGAACCCAGGAGACTTACCAAAATTAGTTGATGGATTAAAGAAATTATCAAAATCAGATCCATTAGTTTTATGTACAACAGAAGAATCAGGATAAAATGTTATTGCTGGATGTGGTGAGTTACACGTTGAAATCTGTTTGAATGATTTAGAAAAAGATTTTGCAGGTATAGAACTTATAAAATCTGATCCAATTGTTTCATATAAGGAAACAGTTTCTGCAACATCAAACATTGTTTGTATGTCAAAATCACCAAATAAACACAACAGAATTTATGCTTAAGCTACTCCATTACATGAAAATTTACCAGATGCTATAGAAAAAGGATAAGTAACACCAAAAGATGATCCAAAACTCAGAGCCAAAGCTCTTACAGAAGAATACGATTGGGACAAAGAAGATTCATTAAGAATTTGGACTTTTGGACCAGATAACGCTGGTGCAAATATTTTGATGGATAAGACATCAGGTGTTTAATATATGAATGAATTAAGAGAATCAATGGAATCTGCTTGGTAATGGTCAACAAAGGAAGGACCACTTTGTGAAGAAAATTAAAGAGGTATTAGAGTTAACATTTTGGATTGTGTATTACATGCTGATGCTATTCATAGAGGAGGTGGTTAAATTATTCCAACTGCTAGAAGATTGTATTATGCATGTGAATTGACAGCTTAACCAAGATTATAAGAGCCAGTCTTTTTGGCTGAAATTACTGCACCAAATGATGCTACTGGTGGTGTATATAATTGTCTTAACACCAGAAGAGGAACAGTTATTGAAGAAGAATAAGTTGCAGGAACTCCACTTTCTGTGGTATTATTATTATTCTAATTTTTTATAGGTTAGAGCTCATTTACCAGTTGCCGAATCTTTTGGTTTCACTGCTCATTTAAGAGGTATGACTTAAGGATAAGCCTTCCCTCAATGTGTCTTTGATCACTGGGCTATTGTAAATGGTAATCCACTTGAAGCTGGATCAAAAGTATTATATTCTTTTTATTAATTTAGGTTAACGAATTAGTCTTATCAATCAGAAAAAGAAAGGGTATCAAAGTTCAATTACCAGACCTTAATGAATATTTGGACAAACTCTGATCTAAATATTGTATTTTAAAAACAACACAAATATTCAATCTTTATAATATTTATAAATCTTTAAGAAAATCTTAAAAATAAATATTCAATATTGATCTACAGTTCCAAAATATCTGTCTCCAAAATCTCCAACTCCTGGAAATCGTAAATCCTAAATTGTATTTAAAGCATGATCAACTCCTGCCGTTATTATTTTTACCTTTGGAAATTGATGAAGCACTCTTGAAAGACCTTTTTCACATGAAACTATATTCACTGCTGTTATATTATCTTAAGTAACTCCATGAGATAACAATGCCTTTATAGCTGTTGTTATTCTACCTCCAGTCGTTATCATTGCATCTGTAAGAATTACCTTATTTAGTTAATTTATCTATACCTATTTTTAATCTACATCTTCTGGTAATTTACAGTAAATTAACTATGGATCTTTTGTCTATGGATGCTCCTAAACCAATATAAACCCTACTGATGTTCCTGGAAGTACTTTCAGAGCTTCACCTAAAAATGCATTTCCAGATCTTATCATCACTACTACACAAAATTATTTCTATTCAAAGCTTATCACTTATGCTTATTATTATTGACTTTATTAGCCTTCCTAAGGTGACATTTTTTTTATATGCTCTGATACTGCTTTCTCTAATAGTAATCTAATCAATCGATCTGAATATAATCGAAAATCCTTAAATTTATTAATTTCTCTACTTTTGTTTATGTAGTTTTGTTACGAATCACACTCAGTATATGTTCTACTTGAAATTTATCTAACACATACAGACTGGGAAACCTTAGACGAAATTGTTATAATTCTGTATGAGAAATAAATGAAAAATATGGGGCAGCACATTTTAATCGATTTTATTATTATTAGGCTATATAGCTTGAGCCAATCATTCCTATTAATCCTGCCTTTACTATTTTTAAATTTATCAAATTCATTTTAGTATTTATATTTTTATAATAATTACAATTATGAATCTTTAGAAAATATTTAAGTACCTCTCATTCAAAGATACTTAAATTAAGCATAAATAAGAACATTTTAATTATATTTAATATATTAAAAATAAATATGGTTAATTTTAGAATGCTAATGAAAAAGATTGCACAAAAACTTAGACTTAATGATAAACTGAATGTTTCTGCTTATACTACAATGATTATAGCTGCATATTGTTTGATTAAAGCCAAATCAAAACCAATTTTGCCACTTGTCAAAATAAGCAACTTTATGTTGGTGCTCTAAAAGAAATTAGTAGAAGAAGTCATTTATGATGGAACTCATATTTTATTCAGATGTGTCAATTAAGCTTAATGGATGTCAACTCAGGCTGATCCTTTGATAAAGGGAAAGGAATTATTGAAAGTTTTAGTGTAAGAATGTTTCTTTTTAATTTTTAAGGGAGTATGGTGTTCCAAGGTTTTAAAATTCCTCCTAAATCTATTACACTGAAAATCAAATTAAATATTTAGTAGTGAGTGTAGCAGCCTTTTCATATGCTTTTGGTATATTTGCATCTCTTTTTTTGAATAATCAACTATTTTCTAATAAATCCTTGGTTGCCTAGTCAACAGGAGTCAAATTTTGTAATATTTATGGTCTAGATCATGCAAAAAAATAGCTGACATAAATTATTGAATATTTATAGGATCCATTAAAATTTAGAAATGTAGGTGCAAGATTAAGAAGAGGAATTATGATTTATGGTCCTCCAGGAACAGGAAAAACAATGCTTGCCAAGGCTACTGCAACAGAAAGCAATGTTTAATTTTTATATTGTTCAGCAACTGAATTTATGGAAGTTTATGTTGGAACAGGACCTAAGAGAGTTAGAGAATTGTTCAAAAAAGCAAGACAAACATCTCCAGCTATTATTTTTATAGATGAAATTGATAGTATTGCATATAAAAGAAAAAATTAAAATTTTGGAGTAGAAACAGGTGGTGATAATGAAAGGGTTAGCACTTTAAATTAATTACTAACAGAAATAGATGGATTTAAAGAAAATGAAAATATTGTTGTTATTGCAGCAACTAATAGAATTTAAATATTAGATGATGCCCTTCTTAGAAGTGGTAGATTTGATATTAAAATAGAGGTTGTTTTACCATCAGAAAATGACAGGAAAGGTATTATCGGGGTTCATTTACAAAATGTATTATATATTTAATATGTTAAATAGAAAAAACATTAAATTTCTTAGGGAATGATTGATAAAGTATCCAAGAATACAAATGGATTCTCCGGAGCAGATATGGAAAACATTACAAATGAAAGTGCATATATTGCTATAGAGAAATAATAAGAGTTCATATCAGATGACGATTTTTAGGAAGCATTCAGAAAGGTTAGTTAAGAAAAACAGCATATGTTAGAGGTCTGATTAAATTTTTTATGTATAACACATAATATGAATTATTCATAAATATTTTTCCACCAGCATCCTAATATTATCAGGTACTGTATAAGTTGTTCTAAAAAACTCTTTAAAATAACAACCCAAATCTGACTTAAACTATTGTTTCAAAATCTCCAAGGTATTAATTTAAACTATAGGATTCATTTACTATACTAATAAGATTAAAAATATATTCTAAAACCATACACTTACTTAGATAGCCGATCTCAAAAGTTCGCTCTTACTGCTACACATCCAATAGACAATTCTTTATAAATTTTAGATTCCCTAAAATAAATAAAACTACTTACTTCAACAGTGAAATCATGAAAGGATTGAGCAGAAATTACTAGAGCTAGACCAGATGTAATAACTAAATCAAATAATTCAAATTTTAGCTATTGAATAAATTGAAATTTATACACAACAAATGCTTAGAATACAATCTATGACTTCATTTAAAAAGTATGCTTTGTCTTTTCCTAATTATAAAACTTAGGTAAAGACAAAAAATATATTTGCTTATATGTATTTTAATTAATATTCTTCTTAACATAGTGTCTTTTTTAAAAGCTAAAAAGAGTTTTTATTAGCATAATTTTTAAGAACTGATTGAAAGATTAAATTATCATAGGGAACACATTTTAATTATGATAATATAAGCCAAACAAGTTCCTCATCCATATTTTTGAGTAGAAGTTCAAACAATAATTTGTTGATTGACTAGAACTATTAGAAGAGAACTGCTTCAAACCAATTTGAATTATTTTAGTATAATTTAATAAGAAAATGTTAGGCATGTCTATGTTTTTCTTTTTTGAGTAAATCAAGAGTTTTTGATTGGTATTCACTCATGATAGATTATTCTTGAGGAAATAATAGGATGTTTATTGAATCGAAAGTTAATGTTAGTAGAAAGTAATCTAATTGAGTGTTAGCTAACAATTATGGTACAAGTTGATTTAAAACATTAGTAAATGAACTAACACAGAATTATTCTGGGATATCTATTAGATTTTCAAGTTTGGATTCTAAGTTAACCATAATCTCAAGAGCTGCTGATATTTCATTTAAATAGAAGTGATCATTGACTTGTTCTATAGATTTATTGAAGAATAAAGCAAGTTCCTTAAAATATAAAAAAAACACACCTCTTTTTTTAGTTCTTATTATTTCAAATACAATTATTCATATTAATAGATATATTGTTATCTTTTTTATAGTAATTTATTTTGAATATCCTCTTTTCTTTAAGAATTTCTCACTTGCTCTCTTTTTAATTGAATTAATCCATCTGTTGTTGTATTAGAGGGAAATTCTGTGTTTAAATTTTAATCCATAAAATTAATTATAATTTAAAATTAAACGATTAAATTATATATATATATTTCATACCTTTCTTTTGATCAAATCTTTACCAGTTCCTCTGAGAATAAAATCTACACTAGGTCCATCTTATACTTTGATTCTATATTTAGATTTATATAATAATTCAGCAGTAGGCTATAAATAATGATATATAAATAACTTTGAATCTAATAAGTATTTTAAATGGTTATACACCTAATTCTCTAATATCATCAATAGTGATTTGATAAGGTAAACATGTAGCATGAGGTAGAGTATGTACCATAGTAGATGGACCATCTAATTTCCCTTCAGTTATTTAAAATTCAAAAACAGAAGGATCATCAGTTTTCTTCATTTCTTCTTTATCTTCTAAAGTCATAGTTCTTTCAACAATGTTTTTTCTTAAAGGATTCTTTTAATGTTATAATTTCCATTATGCAGGTACCAATGATAAATTTGATAAATATATAGCAATAGTTTTAACTTCTTGTACATCTCCAAAATCTAATACATCAGGACCCTCTACTTAATCAATTCCAGAAGTATTCAAATGAACAAATGGTCTAAGTAAAACTCCTTCTAATTAAATTGATTGTTTATCCCCATTAGCATAAAATATATTAATCAATCCATGATGATATACTTTATAAGTAAGAGGCCAATTAATTGGATCGCTAGGTTAATAACCATCAAATTTTATTAACAATTCTACATGGGAATCTGTTACTAAATTAAATGTCTTTGCAATCTCAGTTTTCATACCTAATTCATATTTTTATGGAGAATTTGTTGAAGTCTGCATTAATTTAAATGGTCCTTCAATTTCAAAAGTACAAACAAAACTTGATTTTTATCTATTTACTAAAACTATTTTCTTTTCTTATTTTTCATTAAAACCACTTGACCATTTTTAAAATTTAACTTAGAATCCGCCTTCTAACTTTTCAAGTTTATCAAATGTTAAATATGGTGTAATAGTTTCACTTTTTACATAAAAAGCTACTTCTCCAATAGTTTTATCCTAATTTATAAGTCTTGGCCTAGCTACTAAACAAGCACTATAATTTCCAGTATCTTGAGTTGTAAAATGTAAAGTAAAGTGTTTTTCTTTCCTTTATTTAATTCTCTCTTTATTAGGTACAACTTAAAAAGGTCCATCTTTTGATTCTGGAGGTTCATTTGCTATAAATTAAACATCACATAATTAATCTGATCCTAATTAAGGATCTGTTATTTTAATATCAAAATAATCAGATATAGTGTTATTTCCTAAATTATAAATTTTCCATTCTAATTCTACATCTTAAGGCCCTGTATTTTATACTCTAAAATCTCTACTAATTGTTCCAAAATTTCTCATATAAGTACCTAAATCAAAAGTAGGAAAATCTGTTTTATAATTAAATCCCAATTAACTTGGACTTATTACTATTGGAGAACCTTTAATATCTATTGCTATTGGAAATTCTTTAGTTGGAAGTCCTCTTATATCACAACACATTTAATCTTCAAATAATCCACATATATCATTAAATACTGTTACCTAAACTACCACTGATCCATATGCATTCAATGTACCTTATGATGGTTCAAATACTACTGCTATTCCCAAATTATTTGATAAATACACTCTCTAATCATGTTCCATCTTCTTTTATTTATTCAATTTCAATCCTGCTTCTGAAGTAAAATTATGTGTTTTCTCTATCTTATTTGTTAATAACACTACAGGTCTTCCACTTTAAGTAATCTTTCCTTTTTTAGATACTGATTTTGATATTGAAGATTCTGCAAACTTTATTGTTCTTGCTGCTTATGATTTAGCATCGAAATCATCAAAAAGTGTTGATTACTCTTCTAATGCATGTGGTTAATACTTTCTCATAAATAAATTAAATTATGTATGAATACCAGATGTATTCTTTATTAAAAATTTTGCTTACTTTGGTTAATTTATTGTACAATTATAAAATTCTAATTTATCCATCTATTAATTTTTTATCTCAGTATCTGCCTTCAAAAGTGATTTTCTTGAATCTTTTAAACTTTTTGATTTAGAACTTACTGATGTTTTTGAAGATATATGTGCACTATCATCAACCAATTCATATTCTACTGATAAACCATAAATCATTGTATTCATCTCAAAACCTAATGGATATTATAAACCTTGCACTTCACATACAAAAAGCTCATTTAATTTTCCCCCTTCTTTTGGCTTTATTGAAAATTTTATTATTTAATTTGTTTTAGGTTTTAGAACTCCTTTTTTTGGTTCAAATTAAACTAAATATTTTTCTTATTTTTCATTATCTACTACCCATTCAAAAGGAGTACTGATATTACCTAAATTTTATAACATTATGTATTATTATGCTCTTTAATCAAATGTATATGTATTTCCACAATATAGAGTATCAATATTTAAAGATAATCTATTTAATGAGACACTTGGATTTTAAACCTCTGCAAATACATCTAAAACTGCACAATCACCATTTTCAACCTAAAAATATAAGAAATCATTATATGTTTCAGCTTCTCTAGATTGAAATTCTACTTTAAATTAAATAGAACTATTTGGTTTGATCTCAAACTAATCTTTATTAAATAATAATCTTTAATCTGATCCAGATTAAGCTTTAATTAAAGCAGAAACTGGTGACAAATTATTAATGGTTAACTCTTATGATTCCAAAGAATAAGTTTGAATTAATCCATAATTCAACCAACTTTATTTAACTGAAATGATTGGAGCAATAATTTCAGCAAATATTGTAATAAGTATAGAATTAGCATAATCAAAGTCAATTCTATATTCCAATTTAATTTAGCCAACTTCAGTACTTTAAATTCCTAATACAATTTCAGCATCATGATTAATGATTCCTTATTTATCTTGTATATAGAAATAATCTAATTGAAGTGAATTAATTTAATATTTGATTTAAGTTTTTGAAGTTGTAAACAATTTAAATTTATAAGTCTACAAAGTATTGACACAAATAGGAACAGGAAATTTGTAAAATTGTGGAGTTACACTAACATCAGCAAGTGCAGTTTTGCTAATCAATTCAAATTCAAAATAAGTAATTGATGGTTTAATACTATTGGATCCAATAGCAACAGATTATTAATTATTTTCAAATTACTATTTTAAATTAGGTGGAGGATTACGAATACTTTCAAATGGTATATCATCTATAATTAAATAGGCAGTTTAAAATAGAGGATAATACTCTTCACTTTTTAAAAAGATTTCAAAATCTACAACCTCATTAGGTTAAAAGTATCCCTCTTAAGGTTAAATAGTATAATAATTTTATTCGTCTTCTAATTTTAATTCTTTATCATCATTTTATAAATACCAATGATATTTAACTTTAACTGATGTTTTATTTCTTATTTTTAATTTTCTACTGGTCTCAACTTTAGGTATAGGATCATTAAAAAATATTTTATGTAATTATTCTGACTTTTCTAGATTAATATTATCAATTCCNTAAACTAAATATTTTTCTTATTTTTCATTATCTACTACCCATTCAAAAGGAGTACTGATATTACCTAAATTTTATAACATTATGTATTATTATGCTCTTTAATCAAATGTATATGTATTTCCACAATATAGAGTATCAATATTTAAAGATAATCTATTTAATGAGACACTTGGATTTTAAACCTCTGCAAATACATCTAAAACTGCACAATCACCATTTTCAACCTAAAAATATAAGAAATCATTATATGTTTCAGCTTCTCTAGATTGAAATTCTACTTTAAATTAAATAGAACTATTTGGTTTGATCTCAAACTAATCTTTATTAAATAATAATCTTTAATCTGATCCAGATTAAGCTTTAATTAAAGCAGAAACTGGTGACAAATTATTAATGGTTAACTCTTATGATTCCAAAGAATAAGTTTGAATTAATCCATAATTCAACCAACTTTATTTAACTGAAATGATTGGAGCAATAATTTCAGCAAATATTGTAATAAGTATAGAATTAGCATAATCAAAGTCAATTCTATATTCCAATTTAATTTAGCCAACTTCAGTACTTTAAATTCCTAATACAATTTCAGCATCATGATTAATGATTCCTTATTTATCTTGTATATAGAAATAATCTAATTGAAGTGAATTAATTTAATATTTGATTTAAGTTTTTGAAGTTGTAAACAATTTAAATTTATAAGTCTACAAAGTATTGACACAAATAGGAACAGGAAATTTGTAAAATTGTGGAGTTACACTAACATCAGCAAGTGCAGTTTTGCTAATCAATTCAAATTCAAAATAAGTAATTGATGGTTTAATACTATTGGATCCAATAGCAACAGATTATTAATTATTTTCAAATTACTATTTTAAATTAGGTGGAGGATTACGAATACTTTCAAATGGTATATCATCTATAATTAAATAGGCAGTTTAAAATAGAGGATAATACTCTTCACTTTTTAAAAAGATTTCAAAATCTACAACCTCATTAGGTTAAAAGTATCCCTCTTAAGGTTAAATAGTATAATAATTTTATTCGTCTTCTAATTTTAATTCTTTATCATCATTTTATAAATACCAATGATATTTAACTTTAACTGATGTTTTATTTCTTATTTTTAATTTTCTACTGGTCTCAACTTTAGGTATAGGATCATTAAAAAATATTTTATGTAATTATTCTGACTTTTCTAGATTAATATTATCAATTCCCAAGATTCCTAATTCTACCATATTACCTTTGCCTATTAACTTTAATGTGGCTTAAGTTAGATTATCACATCCTAAAATAATGTTCTCTATAACTTCTCCTTCAAGATCTGGTTTAAAAATAGCCTAGATTATTTATGTTTCCCCTTTATGTAAGAAGAATTCAGCAGGTGATAAATAAAAATTGCCAATCTGTATGTAGTTTTCTTCTTCTTACTATTCTTATTAATTATTTATAAAAAAACGATAACCTGCTTCTCCTCCTGAATTTTTAACAACAAATCTAGTTTCTACTTAATCACCTATCCAACAACTTTAACAATCTAATTATGATGGCAAATCTAATTATGGAGGTTCCTTTCTTGCTAATAATGGAACTTTTAAAATATGATCCTCTGTTATTACAGCAATGGTATCATCAAACTCTGCCAAAGAAGATGGATTAAATCTCACCTTTAATATTGCACTCATTCCTGGAGCTATACATCCGTCCTCTTTTGTTGGATATTTTATAGATGCTATCTGAAACTCCTTTCTAAAATAATGTTAATTCACTCACTTTTCAGGGGGCAGCACTTTTATTCTCTACAAAATTCCGGTGGCATTTGTAACATACAAATCTATTTCATACATCCCATTCAACATGTACTCTCTGAATACTAATTATTTAGGAAATACTCTAAAAGATGTTATTTAATCTTTCTCTACTACTATATCCTAAGTTAATTTAAATTAATCATACTTGCTTTGTATTTATGTAAGAAAATAGAACAGGTGCTTTATTAATTTTGAATCTAGGATTCTTTAGATAATTCACTCTCTTATTCATGTTCTTTATAATCTGATTATTGACTTCTTTATCCTTCTCATTCATTTCCAATAAAAAATTACTCTTATTTTTCTTCTATGTCACCGGTTTCAATTAACTTGTTTCTTTCATTAGAAGTTATTTAATTATAATATATATATAACTTTAACATAATATATTATATTCAAGGTACCATTATTATGTTTGCCTTTGCTTTTTTAAGCAATTCATCTGCTGTTGAACCAAAGAATGTCTTATTTTCTAATTGAGCTCTATATCCATTTGATCCAAATACAACAAAATCGAGATCATCAGAATTATTAATCATTTCAATTACATTATCTATTGCTCTATATGAAGCATTTAATTATTTATATTGCCATTTTCTCTAATATTTTGCCATAAATTCTTCAACCTTTGATTTTATTGTTGTTCCAAATGCTTCCCTATCTGGAGTTGGAGCAAAACATATTAATAAACTATCACGCTCATCAAAAGATAAGGCAACAGCACTTTCTAATGATTTATAAGATTTCTTTGATCCATCTATACAAACAACAAATTTAAATCCATTTGTCTCATCCCTTTTATAGAGTTTCTTTACAGCTATCAAAGGTATCTTACTATTGTAAACTGAATTTCTCACTGTCTATCCTAAAATTGTGATATCCTATTTGATTCCCTTCCTTCCATTAAATCCAACTATTAAATAACTCACATTTAAATCTCCTGCTATACTCAAGATTTAATTTCTGACATTTTCTTAACCTTGTCTTTTCTCCTAAAAAACTAATTAGTAGTTTGCTTCTGGATACTAAAGTTATAACAAATTGATGAATAATTTACTCTTGATAATAATTCAATTTTATAATCCTCATAAATTGTTGTGCTTTGGAATTCAAAGGGTAAATAGGTTTTAGATTAATCTGAAACATGAGCTACGATAATTTAATTGAAAATATTCTTAAATTCAAAGAACTCAACTGCTTACTAAATATTTTAATTAAATTATGTACAAAGAAAGCTTATTTGGATGCTTAGGATCCATCAGTTGCAACCATTATATTTGATTTATTTGATTCCATAAAAATAATAATTAAATATAAAATATTTTATTTTATTTTATTTATAATTTTTTAGATAAATACCAATTTAAAATTCATAAATCTGTTGGTTAAATTTTACTATCAGGAATACTTTCCATATTCAACAATGATTAAGGTGCTCTAAAATTTTCATAACTTTCTCCTCTCAATCTATAATGACTTTAATCAATTAAATAATCCCCATATAAAAAAGATTTAAATTCTGCTCTTCTCAAAGAATTGACACACAAAACGATTAATAAAACTGGATAAGTAAAAACAGTTTCAGGTATTGAATGTTTCACAGATACAGTGGTCAAAATCCATAAACCTTCAGCTGCTATTAATGATAAGAATCCAGAAAGTCCATAAGTAAAGGTTCTTTTACTTTTATCTATTCTATAGGCTAGACTTAGGAACAATCCTGGTATAGCTTAACTAAACAATGAAATCCAAGCACAATTTTTATTATATTGCAATTTCATTAATGGTAATTGTAATTCAAGAGGGCAGTTTAAATATTACAATACAGCAGTATTGTATGATTCAACTTATGTGTAATGTATTGCAATAGCAAAAGTTGAATCCAAAATAATATTGGCTAACATCATAATAGCTGCATTCTTCAGATTTTTAAGTCTAAAGAATTTTACAATAAGGAAAATAAATGCTAATGAAATTATGTCACTCAAGTACCAAGGTTTTAAAAAATAATATGGTAATCCAATCATTAAGGATATAATAGATGAAAAGATTAAGTAATATTATCTTACAAAAGAACTAGCTTTAAATAGATAGGATAACTAATGTAATTATGAATGTAATACTTCAGCAGTAACAAAGAAGACAGCTAATGTACCAATTGAACAAGCTATTATAATAAAGAAATAATTAATGATATCTTAATAATCTAAAGCTACAACCAAAATACCTCCAGCTGCATAGGCTAATATGTAAATACAAATAACTATAAAGTTAATTTCAAATCCTTAAAAATCTTATCCATTTCTTTTCCATCGAAATGAAAGGATTCTTGTATATTTTGCTAAAAATGCAATTAAAATAGTTGAAATAACAAGTAATATAGGAAGACTCCAATCAAATGTAAGTTATCTGAATGATTTATCACATGAAAATATCATAGCGAATTCTATCTCCTTAGGAGTTTCTTAATTTGCTTCAATTAAGTTAACAATGACTTTGATTGAAGTCCAATAATTTTCACCTGTAAGTTCATATTTTTAGGGACACTTTTAAGAAAGTAAAAAACTAAGCTAATCTTTAGGTGTGAGTGCATCATCATCTGAAAGTACTTATGTTGAGAGAGTTCTCTTTATAAATATATAAAAAATACATGTTTGTATTTTTATCTGCTTTTTGATTAACTAAAACTTTATATGTAACAATATCGTTGTTAACTATTTTTAAGGTTTAATTAGAATATCCAATTACATCTCTCTAATTTGTAACACCAAAAGATCTTGGAGGTTTGCATGTCATTCCTTGATTTAGATTTTCAGGAAGGAATTCAAATTATATTTTGTTATTATCATAAACTGTATATTAATCACTGTCATCTTCAATATAGATTTGAACTTCCTACCCTATTAATAATAAAGGGAGATATAGCAATAAAATATACATTTATTGATGTTGTATTATATATAATTTAATAAAACCTTAATATATTTTATTTCTATTATAAATTTGAATCCTTTAAGTTATTCCATCATTCTATCAAACAAAAAAACTAATTATTTATTTTGTATCTTTTCGATTTAAAAAGATTACATTTTTTTTATTTTATATTATATTCTTTATTAACAATCAAACAATTAACGATTCTAAAAATATTTAATATTTAAATTAAATAAATGATCTTGCATCATCTAAACCTCTTCAATAACTTTAACCATTTAATCATATTCTGTTGCTTACTCTTTATCTAGAACTTATGCATCACCATTATACATTGCAAGTTCTTCATATTTACATATTTAATAATCTATTTTTACTGCATCTGTTCATCATGTTCCATAACCTGTTGCTGTCTAACCAAACCAATTGTTTAATATTACTGGTTAACCAACTCATTAAATTATAAAGGCAGAAACTAGAATTGAGTAATATAATATAATTTAATATTTAGGTATATTCCTTATCAAAATCTATCATAGAATATCAAGAAGTTAGTTAAACAATCTAAGTTTATATTTTTATATTAATTTTATATTTTAGAATATGTTCCTGCTGATAGATTTTAAGATAAACTTAAATATTATCTAATTGAAAGATAAATAATTCATCAACTTATTCAATAAGTACTATCATAACCTGTTTTCTAAAAATTGCATATTTAATATACTTCTTATGACTAAAATTATTTTATTCCACCAAGAATTTCTTAATCCATTTATTTTCCATCCGTATTATCACATGGTTTAATAGTCTCAAAATCAAGAATAAATATAAATTTTATTTTTTATTAATTAATCGCCTCTTAGATTACATTTTTAGTTGATTTATATTATATTTATCACATCTTATCAATTTCCTTTTTATAGGTTTTAAATAATTAAATCTGCTTTTCTTTTAAATCATACACTTATTTTTAAGTTTGATTCTTGAAGTAATTTTATAAAATTAATTCATTTCAAATTAGCTTATAAATGCTTTCATTTTTCAAATGAATTATTAATAACTAAAATAGAAAATAGTTTTAATTATAGAGATTTATTCATTCGATAAATTTTATTAATTAATTCTCTCTTCTTAAGAACATCCTTTAAAGTCAATAGAATCAATGTATCTATTACATTAAACATCATTAATCACAAAATTTGTAATAGGGATTATTTGAAACTAATTTCACACTTTTTAAATATATAAATTAAACTTATGGATGATTTATATTCTTTGGTACAATTATTATCTAAATCTGAAGTTTTCAATTTTTTTGCCAAAAATTTATACTAACCAAAACCTTTATCGATAAAATATTCTTTAATGATGAAAACAAAACATTTTAAATTATTGACTGGTTTAGTTTAATTTTGAATAATATTTAGTAATACACACAAAAATTACTTCATAATTTGAAATCCTCTAATGATGATAACAATTAGCTTGAAAACTCTTGAGAATAGTACGAATCTTAACTCAAATTCTCACATTCTTAAATAACAAATGAAGCATCTTTATTTAAATGCTGAAGCTCTTTTCTTAAACTATCAAAATTTTCCTTTTTTGCAGGATAAATAATGATAAATCTTTCAGGATATTCTATTGTATAAACTCTAGATGTGTTTTCTATTTATATATAATTTTCTTCTGAACTATTTTAACTCTCTTCTCTAATTGATACCTCATTTCTTCTTGTAATTTCAGTATTTGAGACTGAAAGCATTGCATTGCAAGAACACGATTAACCCATATATAAATTTATTTATATTTTTTAATACTTTCTTTAAAATAATCCATAATAAATCCTGAATTTAATTATTTTTATTTTACTGCAATACTAAATTAAAGTAATATTTATTTAGAATAAAAAGAGTTTACTTACAATTTTATTATTTATTTATTTAAGATTCTTATTAAATTAAGAAATAATTTTTTTGATAAGATACTCTTTATACTAATTAATAAAACTCAAGTTAATATTTTATTATAATGTTTTGATTATCTAGAAAATTATTTGCTAGATGAAATTATTTAAATAATTATACAGAGACAAACCTCCTCAATTAAATTTTAAACTTAAAAAATATAATTCTAAAAATATTATACTATTATATTAAATATAAAAATGAAGAAATCTCAAAAAAAAATAGGTTCATTTTTTTATAAAGTTTTAATAAATATGATTAAATTGAATTCATTAAATTGTATAACAAACTTATATATATTCTTAAATACGATAGTTGCTAAACTTTAATTTGATTTAATCAATTAAAATAATGAAAGATAATTAAATATAAAATTTGGAAACAAAAATTATTGTCAAGTCTAAATTGAATCTTTTTGTTGAGAGAATAATTAATATTCTAGTTATTTAAAAGCTAAGAATTTTCAATCATTTAAAATTAAGAATTAAATATTTATATCATTTAATGAGAGATTATGATATAATTTCTACAAAAAACAAAATTTTAAGGTTATATCAATTCAAACTAGAAAAATAATTGAAAAATTTAAGATTTCTTATAATCTTATGAATAATTAGTTTCATAATAATTTTCTATTTTAAATTTTGGTTCTATATTATAGTAAAGTTTATATAATATTACACAAAAGGACATAAGTTAAAGATTAAGTACTTCATCTTTTGTATGTTCTGAATTCTTATTATGAAATAAGAATTTAAAAATAATATTTATTATTAATGAAAAGGACGACTAAAAGAAGAAAATTTTTATTATTTCCATCACTAAATATAAATAAAATTTTAAAGTCTCAAGAATAATTTGAAAATTACAATATAGAAGAGTAGAATCAGATAGTATACCTTATTTTTGTAAATAAATTTAGAATAATCATAATAATTTATATATTTATCAAACTTAATTAATAAAATTTTATATTTGATTATATATAGTCAAATTATTTTAATTGATGTTTGCGATAATTTTTTGTTGTTTGATCTTAAATAGATTACCTGCATTGAATATAAACATTTATGATAAAAAATAATATATTATTAAAGCTAATTTTATTAAAATACTATAAATTTTATGGGATGCATTGCTTAAAAAACAAAATAAAAATCAAAAGATCAAATGAGAACGACTAATCAAAATAGTCAATATTAGAATGCATTAAATTAAGAAAGCAAAATATTAGAAACTGAACAAAAGGCTGATAGAGTTAATAGTGAAATAAACGTTCCTCATTCTCCTTAAATTGGAAGAAGGCTAAAACATATGGTAAGTAGTGATGAAGTTTAAAAATATATTACTAAAAAGCAGAGTATCACTTAAAGTCCATTCAAGTATATCAAGAATTCCCCAGAATAAAGGAGAAAGTTATCTTTGATAAACAACCCTTAATAGTGATTTAATTTTTATTTTTCCTTTGTATTAGATCACATTTCAAGTAAAATATCAATGATTTACAAAATATCTTATTGATACTTAAATGAAAAACATAATATCTATATATAATCATTATAAAGATCTTCTTTAGATGGCTTAAGAAGTTTTATCTATTTAGAAAATAATGGTAGACTTAGTCATTTCAATATATTGATCTGTAATTCTTGAACTTCCTAAATTTATAATTTCAATTATACTATTAGATGGTATTACAGTATTTGGTGATGCAGTAGTAGGAGTTCTTTATGTTCCAAATTAGCTTTTTAAATGTTTCTCAATATTCTTTTAGATTTCTGTTAATTAATTAGAATTCCTCTTAATTTTCCCTTTATCTTCAAAAATAATTGGCTCATGAATGGATATTCTTGAAGGGTTACAACCCATAAAAAATTTATCAAATATTTATTAGTTCAATTAGGGTTTATTAAATTGTTAATATAGATGCATTCAATTTTCATTAAAATTTTAGCATGAATGAATTATTTTGCTGAAATTTTTACTTATAGAAAATCATATTTTAGGACAACTTAAAATTAAACTAGAAATTAGACATTTGTTTTTAAAATGATTCAAATATAACAAATAATATAGTATTTTTATTCCATTTTATAAACTAAGCTTTAAAAGACAACCTTAATTATATATAATTTGATATCCAAATAATAATTAAAAATTTGAATGAAATTTAGTAAGAATTTATTAAATAATATCACCTCTCTTTTTTCATCAATGTTAAGGCTAATAAATTTATTCTCAGTTAATAAAATTAAATTAGATCAAGAAAAAAATTTATTTTGAAATAATTATTTCTCCTAAGCAATGTAAAAATATAATCTGTATTATTAATTTATGAGGTATTATTAAACAAAAAAATGCTAAGATTTCACCAATGTAAATCATTTATTATTTATTTTTATTTGTATATACAAAAATGGGTTGCGTTGGATAAAAACAGAATTAAAATCAATAGAGAAATAAATTTCAATTACATAGACAATCATTAGTGATATTAAATTCACATAGAAAATTATGTTTAGATTAGCCTCTTAAGCCAGATCCTAAACAATAAATTCATCTTTATCGATAGATTGATATATCATATGATGATGAATTTATTTTAAAGAGAGATTAAAAAATTATGTCTAAGAATTAAGAATCTCCAAATTTAACTCCAAAATTTAAACAAAATCTTCATTTTGGAATCGAAAGTCGATCAAATAAGATTATCATATGAAATATGTACATAGAGTGAAAAAAATCAGTAGATATTGTGTTTATTTATTATTTTATATATTTTTTATATATTTACATTTATAACTTTCCATAATTCATAATATTAATTACTAAGAGAATCTATAAAAAGATGGCACTTCTAATAAGGGTCAATATAATTACAAATATGTCTAATTTGTTTAATTTAAGATCCATATAATATCAGGGTGCATTCACTTTACTCAAATATTTACTCTAAATATTCAAAGAATTCAGGATTAACTGATTCAATTTTTATAATTAAGATTAAGGGCTGTGATTTTTATTAAACTAATTCATTATATAATTGACTCATTTTCTTATTTAAATAAATGGAATCGATATTTAAAGCTGAATAGTGATCAAAATTTATATGCAAATAAGGTTTTTGAGTATTCTCAAATTATTGCTATAAACTATATGAATAAGTATTATTTATTAAATAAATCCCTTTTGTTTTATTAAATGGTATTTTGAGCTCTTAAATATTTGTATTCTATGGTAATTCAATCAAATCTAACGAACTAAAAATATTCATAAACTTATTTGGGGATTTGAATTGACTCATTAATTAAATTTGATTCATCAAAACAACAAGTGCAAAAAGACAAATAATTATAGTTTTAGAAGTTAATTTTTCTTCAAATTGTAATTGTGATTTGTTAAGAAGTATAAAAGCTATAAAAACTAGTGTTGTGAGAGCTATGAAAAATAAAACAGAATAAAACATTTGTTAATTTAATTAAATTTATCGAACTTTGAACAAATGAGAACAACTCCCAATAGTGTAAAAGAAACAGCATCTAAAACATCAACTCAAGATTATAAAAAATAATAATCATAACCTGTATGTGAATTAAAATATTATAAAGACTGTTAGCATTCCAGAATCTAGTCAATTATTCCATATTCCCTAAAAATATTGTCATTAACGCTTAAAACCATAACCTACTATATCTAAATCTATTGAAGAGAAAAGATGCAAGATTAATAAGAATAATTTATCAGAATTAAATAATCGTACAAATAGCAGTTCAAAAAGTCGAATTTCAGGTTTTACAAGCAATTAATTGGAAGATGATTCTTTGTATAGTTCATAGAATGCACTTAAGTTAAAGAAAATAATCGGTGATTCATAAGCTTTTAATACTCATCTATTTGTGTATAAATATTATTCTAGTCTTTTATAGTTCTAAATCAAATTTAACTTGTGATTCATCTAGTCCAGGAGGTAGATAAAATAAATCAGCTTATAAAAAATCAGCTGATTTTGATATCAATTAATTGAATATGTTAAAAGAAAAAAGTATAACACATAAAAAGGCTTAATCCTAATAAGCAAGTTAATCAAAAGAATTAATTGATTAATTTTTAAATCTTGATAAATAGATTTAAGGATCAACTTTAGAATAACAAAAAAAATAATAATATTTAAAATAAAGAGGGTTATGGGATCCCTTTAAAGATCTATTTATTAAATAATTTGCCAGAACTCCAATATAATTTAAAAGTGTGTTTAATTAGTTGTAAATATAAGTTAGAGAAATTGAATAATAGTGGTCAGACATTATTATGTAAATAGCAAATAATTTATTTGAATTATTATAAAATTCTGCTATACTCATGGCTTATGAATAAGATTTAAAGTTAAATGAATTAGTTGATTAAATGAAAAGGGAAAGAGACATTTGGTAAAATAATTTTAGATCTCTTGAATAAGAAAGGGATATTCTATTAGAAACTGTTTCTTAATTAAAATAAACATTAGAAAAAGAGAGACCATCTCCATTTAAATAAGATAAGAAATAAAAAGATCTTGATAATGTAGATATTCCTGAATTAAAAGAAATGACTATTTTAATGCAATAGAAAATTTTAGAAATGTCAGAAAAAGAATCTAAATTAATTAAATTAGTATTGGCAATACGTAAAACTGGAATTGATATAGAGAAGATATATAATGAGGAAGTTTTGAATGAAGATTCATTTTCAGACAAACCTAATTAATCAAATAGAGAATAGAAGTAAAATTTAATAATTAAATTATAGATAAAATTTTATAACTAAAATTGAAAGAAGTTTTCATGATGCTGATAATTCAGTGGTTAATGATTCTGATGAATCTAGCTTTTAATATAATGGAAGATTGGATGATGAAAGTATTATTGAAAGTATTAGAAGATTTGAAAACAGAAATTAAAATAGTACTTATGCTACAGAAAGTAAAAGCACAGTAAAAATGAAAATAGATTTATCAAAATGTAATTAATAGCAACAAAAATTGCAATAATTATAATAGTTATAATAATAATAACAATAAAAAAAAATTTAACAGCAACTTTAATAATATAATATGAATAAATTGAAAATACCTGATTAAGAAAGTATAGGATTTCATTAAGAATTTATGATGAAATTTAATGAGTTTTCTGAAAGTTGGAGATTATAAGTATTGAAAGATGAAAAGAGAATAAAATCTTGATTTTTATATCATTTAACTAAATTTTGACAATCAATAGATATTTTAAATTAAGATATAAAGATGTAAATTTATCTATATTCATATTTCTTCATAAAAGATTATGTATGCTCCTTTATCTGATAGATGTCTATCTTTTTTATCTTTTGTTACAATATCATCATCAAATTCATACCATTCGTTTTATCTTTTAGCATATGCTTTATAATGTCCACTATTTAATTAACCTTAATGAGATATTAGACCCTTTAATCTATATTAAGCTTTGATAATATTCTCATCACAGAATCTAAAATTAATTATTAAATTACTATTAAATATTAAGGACTTCAGGATATGAAATATCATTTTAGATTTTTTAATTTCTTGGAAATTATGTAAATCGTTTAAGGTGAATAATAAGAAATTAAGGTTTCTGTGTAACTAGAATTTTTCTAATAAGATATTTATTTTAATGCTAGCATATATTACATATCCATTCATCTTATATTTATTCTTCTTTAAAATAACTATATAGACATTCATTTAACTTAATTTCTTCAGCTCCACTATAATTCTATAAAGGCAAATTAATATCCAATATAGGATCATAAACTTCGCTTATTCTTTTACATTTTAAACAATAATTTTTATTTGAAACTTATCCAACAAATAATTCAGTAATTACATCTGCATTTTTCCCTTTATAAAATTCCCAAGCTTCTATTGCAGAATGAAAAAATTCTTTTTTTCCAGTATTTTTTTTTCCAACTAATTCTTCTTAAATTTATGACAATAACAATAAAAGAAATTCGTGAGAATCTTATTATTGAGTAACTTTAAATTTGTTTTAACAGATATACATTAATAAATCCGTTGTAATTGAACTACCAGGAATTGTAACCTAAATTAATTTGATAAGACTTTAATAAGCTTTTGTACATTATCTATTTTCTAATTTTTGAATTTTAAGAATTTTTTAATTAAATTTAGAAATACTTAATAAACACTAGAGTGCAGCATTCATATAACAATAATATTTAGGATTATAAAATCCGACAATAGGTAATTCTACTGGAATCGTCATATAAATTTTTTAAATATTTGTTTACACAGTTGAGTTTTTATCAGTAAGGTAACTTGGTGTAGTTTTGTCAAAATCATCAATATTTTTGGATGAATACTTAAAATTGATATGAGAATCTGTTGAAATTTTCAATGGTAATATTGCTGTTGTAGTTGTTATATGAGTCGCTGTCGCTGCATCATTATTTAAGTCTATTTGAGATCCAATTGGCATAGGAAGAACATAATTTGGTTCATTATTGATTTATTCTAAAGATTAGACTATTAATTATTATTTATCCTCTATAACCTAATGCTAACGTTCTTAAATTCTATTCTAATGAATTTACATTTTAACATTATCTAAATCTATAGTAATTGTTGGTCCACCTCCATAAAGAGTATGAATGAATTTCCAAGCTCTTTCATTCAAAAGTGAATAATGTTTTTCTGGTTGAATTCCTGGTAATAATTATGGATCATTATCTATTATAATATTAATTGTATCATTTATTTTATGTTCATCTATTAATATTTTATTATTGTTAATCTCTTTTGGAATCACTTTCTTCTTTCCTTATAAGAATCCAGTATAATGAAGTGCCCAACGATATTCAATAAAATAAATAATTGGAAGATCTTCTGATAATAAACCATTTACATACTCTTTTTCGACATCAATACTATCTATATTTAATAAATAATTATACCTCTCTTTAAACTATCCTTATTCTCTATAAGCTTTTATTTGATTGACTAAATTATTAATTTCTTAATTGCTTTCTTCACTTTTGTTTTATTCTTTTAATTTTTACTCCTAATAAGAATCCTGATCTTGCTTTTCTTCTTTAACTTATTACTCTTCATTCTTTTTAGAAAATTATCTCACTTCAGAATCTTTATTAATTGCTTATCTAATTAAAAAAACTGTTAAGATAACTTACTTTGACTTTTTAATCTTCGTTTTACAACAAATAAACATTAATTTAATATTAATCAACTTATCTATAAATTTCAAAGGATTAAATTTGAAAGTTTTTTCAATTAAGTTTGATTTTTATGCTCTTCTTAAAAACACATATTTACGTAATTTTATAAACTATTACAAATAATTATTTTAAATTTGAATTTTGACACTTTTCCATTTAGTTCATATGAACGAAGCTATTAAAATTTTTATCTCCTCTCTTTAAAATAAAGATGAAGAAGCTTGGAATATCTAAAAAGAGACAAATACTAAATATTTTTATATTAATTAAATGTTATAAAGTTTTCTAAGATAAGATTTTCTCAAATGAAGATACTCTATAAGGATTCAATTCTTGTTTATTTCTTTATGGATAAACTACATTTGGAAAAACTTACATTATGTTTGGAAATTAAGATAATCCTAATTTATTACCAAATATATTGTTCTTGATTTATTTAAAGACTGTCAATTACATATTGCTATTAGTTATATTGAAATATACAATGAACAAGTTTAAAAACTTATATTGATAATAGATTAATGATCTTTTTTTATAATAAGGTGCTTCGAATATAAAAATGAAGGTAAAGGCCAGGCTTTTGTTAAATATAAGATAGATTTTGTGTCATTCAGCAGTAATTAATAATGAATAATAATTATTTATCTGGTTTAAGAATTATGATTTGACACCTCAAAAGTAGATATAATTTAATAATATTATATAAGCAACTTGTGAATATTAGCATACATTAATTTTAGATTAATTAGGATAAGTATAATCTTGGGGAGTTGGAGATGAAGGATAAATTAGGAAATGTATCATACTATAATTCTGAAGAACCAATAAAATATTAGATAATAAGATATACATAGAAGCAAGTAGATTTATTTCATTCTGCAGGAATACGTAAAGAAAACATTTTTTAGAGTTGAGGATCAAACATTGATTTTAGGTTTGGATTGGAAGAGAAAAGAAATTATAAGTGGGAAAACGTTACATTAATGTTACATTATAGATGTATATAGTTGTGAAAAGAAAAGTAATGGAAATTTAGGACATTTAATGTCACTATACCTGCTTTTCTTTATTGACCAAAATTAATAGAAGGCTTATTAAAGGTTATTTAGATAAGTGTTGGTAAAAGGCATTGTTTGGCATGGGGGTTTATTTTTTTGGATTAATTAGGTTTAAGAGATAAAAATAGAGTGATTGAATAGTAATTATTATTTGAAACCAATAAAGCTTGATCTTTGATCTTTAGGATGTAATTTAAGTATCATGTGGAGAGTATCATTCAATGGCATTATGTTAAAAACAAGTTAATTATTAATTGATGAATAATATATTTATATATCTTGGGTTAATTAATAAACGAATTTAATCTAATGAGTATCTTTGATTAAGAAATTGAATTATTACAAAAAATCTAATTTTATAAAAGGTAAATTAGGAATTGGAATAGAATTTTGATTTGTCTATTTTTAGAAATAGAAGAAGAATTAAGGTAGTAGGATATTATTGAAGTAGAATTGAAGTGTTAGAGAGCACAGGATGTAAATGTAATTATGAAAGTATAATTAAAGAATGTTAATAAGGATTTTAAAGTTAATAATAATTATTAAAATGAGAAGAAACAATAACAGAACATAAAATAATATGAGAGTAGTATCATTTTAAAGTGTATTTGCAGAAACTGTTCCTAGCACTTCTGTATTTTGGCATCCTGATACAAGTCCTAGAGAATCATAATTAACAATATTATAAGGTTAACTTTTATTTAAAAATGAAAATGATTCATGGGAAAGTTATTTATTTGAACTATAACCTGATAGGATGTTTCGTTTTATTGGAGATTAGACAGATTGTTGTTATTTAAGAGGTTGTTTTTTGAAAAAGTTTAATCATTATGATGCTTAATATCCTTCTTATAAATATGGATTCAGATTGTAAATGGGATAATAGTTAGCATTTTTTGTGACAGATGTTTTAGATTAATTTAAAAAGTGGTTTATGATGTTAAAGAGATTTTGTATATTGGAGAAGTTTACTAGGAAATATAGAGTGATAGCATAATTAAGATATAATGATCCAATATTTTAATAAGTGTGTTTTAATTGTGTAAGACTTTCTGATGCATAATATTATTTAGTAAAAATAATAAGTAAAGAAATGTCACCACAATAAAAAAATATGATGTTTAAAGAATTGATGCATTTAAGAAGACTAAAGTACCAATAAACAGTATAGATAGTCATCCATAATTGATGAGATTAATAGAGATATATGAAGATGAGATGAATATTTATTAAGTATTTGATCCATATATGGGTGGAGATTTGAGATAACATTTGAGAGAGACTCAATTAGCATAGGAAGTAGGTGGATAAGTAGAAGAGAAAGTATTGGCTGATATGATGTATGGATTGATAGGAGCTATAGCACATATGCATTAAAGAGGAGTATTTCATAGAGATATTAAATTGGAGAATCTATTTGTACCTGAAAATAAAAGATTACCATTTGTTTTATTATCTAATTTTTGTTATTCAGAATCATTTAAATTAAATGGTTAAAATTAAGGTAGTTATAAAAAATGTGGAACTCCAGGTTATGTAGCACCTGAAATTTTTAGATCAAGAAATTATGATTAAAAAATAGATGTTTTTAGTCTTGGAATTGTATATTATATTTTAGTGTTTGGTAAAATGCCTTTCGAAGGATAAGATTAAGATGAAATATTAAGAGCAAATGAAAAATGTGATATAGATTTTAAAGCTGAAAAGAGATTATGTAAAAATCTATCTTAATCTGGAATGGATATGATGAAAAAAATGTTAAATAAAGAACCAACTTAAAGATTCACTTCTGCTTAATGTTTAAATCATCATTGGTTTATTAAAATGAAATGCAAAGATGAAACTAAACCTAGAAATCAATTTCAATAATAACGTAGTCTTTCAACTATTATTGAAAATTCAGAAATGGAATTAACATAAAGGTATCTTATATAAAACATTCATTTTATTATTTAGTTTTATTCGTCCTTTCAAAGAACCAAGTTAATATATGCAATCCAAAAAAAATCTACCTACTTAAGTTGTGCGAAAAAACTAATAAAAATAAGATACTATAGAAAAGATTGATAAAGAATTTATTTATGATACTTTAGAAGGCAAAATGAATTATATCAATTAAGAGTCATTTTTTAAAGCACCATCCAAAAAAAATCATCATTGATATATTAAATATTATAATGAGGAATTATTCATTTTTTAATTTATTCTAACTTCCATAATAAGTGATCAGTTATAGAAATTCTAGTATTATTCTCAACAAGTATATCCCAATCCTATCGTTTTTCATTTATATATGGAATCCAAATTTTACCTTTCAAAGGTTCATTTGAATTATCTATTTCTATTCCTAGTACTTAATGCTTCCAAAAAGTATACCATCAAGTTTTTAGACATAATAATGAAATCTATCATCTATTGGATCATAAAGAGAAATGAAATTGCCATCACATTTATCTGATACTTTTTCACTAAAACAAATGCCATTCATAACATTCATTATTAAATCACTCTTCTATTTTTCATCAAAATATTTGTATTGTCTTTCAATCTTATTATCAGGATGTTGAATTCTTATCATAAATCCTTGTTTCATATCTTCTAACTGTGTATAGTGGAGTTATTTACTTTTTTATTTCCACTTTATGTTACGCATCCCATTTATTTTTAATGTTATAAATCGAAGTTATTTGCTTTGGATTAGCAATTGAAGTAGAACGTTTATAATCTGAAATCATACAATTAAATCAAGATATTGATCAAACTATTCTTCATAATAATGACTTATAGACTTTCATCAATCAATAATCTACGCAAATCAAATTACTCAATACTAAATTAGACAACTAAGATAACGAGTAATCTATCCTTTTAAATCAATACAAATCTTTATAATAAGAGCATCTTCATGTCATTGACCTAATTAATTAAATTACAGCTGGTCAATTAACTTTAGAATAGTTGAAAGAATTCATTGATGAGCTCAAAAACAGATCCATTTTATATGATGAAATTTAAGATTTACTTTAAGGTCTTAACCTTTAAGAAGTGATCTCTAAGGCTGAATAATTTAATTTGTAATAAGATATTAATTAAGAGTTAAAAGATTAATTAGAATAGTATCCTCAAATTGTAATCAAACTCAATCAAGATTTAGATAAGCATAAATAAGATTTGAATAATAATAAGTAATGCATTATCAATTTAGAATCAATTATTCAAAATCTAAATCAAGAAATACAATAACTCAAATCACTTGTAGAATAAGAATAAAATAAAAACTCTTTTAATCAATCCTAAATTTGTATCTCTTTAGAAACTGAAATAAATTAACTCAAATCTAAACTATCACAAATTGAATAATAAAAAGAGGAGTTGGAAGATGAAGTAGAATAAGTCCATTTTTTTAAAGCTTAAATGGAATCTCAACTTTAAGAAATTCTTAAAGAAAATAGTAAAATCTTGATTGACAAAGATAAGTTAACATAAGAACATTTAGATCTTCTTAATGCTCTCAAAGACGAATTAAATCAATAATTAAATTATCATACCAACATAAATCATGATTTAAATTAAAAGATCTTTTTATTGGAAAATCAACTTAAACTATTTCATGGAGAATAAAATGACCTTAAAATCGAAATTATTAGTTTAGAAGCTGAAATCTCATCTTAACATGAAAGAATTCAAATGTAAGATAATGAAATATAAGATTTAAATTTCATAAATTAAGAATTAAAAATAAATCATGAAAAATAAATAAATAAATTTTAGGATCTTTTAGATTCATAAACTAATGAGAATAATAACCTTAAATAAATTTAAATTAAATTTTAAAATGAAATATCAGAACTATCCAATCAAATTAAAAATTATCAACTTTAAATCTCAATTTAAGTTGAAGAAATAAATTAACTAAGACTTACACATGAATAATTTTAAGGATAATAAGATTCTTAAAATACATAATCTATTAATTTATAAAACTAAATTTTATAGTTAAAAAAAGATATTCAAAATAATATCCATCAGATTGAAGAATAAGAGGATAATCTATAAACTTAAAAATAAATATTTATAAATGAAAAATAAGAACTATAAATACATTATCAATAAATTATTGAAAAACTACAAATTGAGAATAATTCTTTATAGGATTAAATTGATTAAGAATTACAAAGTTTAGAAGAATAAGGTAATTAAATACTATAACTTTCTTCTGAAAATTAAGAACTACAATAGATTTTAGATTAAAAAGAGCAAGAAACTGATAAATTGAATCTATATGTAAAGAAATAGTAGGAAGTTCATGAAAGTAACATTAAGAAAATTGAAGAATTAGAAGAAGTGAATAGAGAACTATTATTTAAATAGAATTCTTTTTAGAAGACTATTAAAGAAACATAGTCTTAAATAGAAGTCTTAAAAGTGGAAGTCATTGAAAAAAATAAATTATAATAAAAAATTTAATCTTTGGAATAAGATTTAAACAAATTAAAATTAATTAATGAAGAATTAAACGAATAAATTGTTTAAACAAAAATTGAGATTAACAATTATTAAACTTAAATAAATAATTTAACATTTGAAATTTAAAATACTACAATAGAATTAAAAAGTTCTTATTAAGAATAAAATTCGATTGAAAATTAAATGAAGGAGATGTTTACAAAAATAGAATAGCAAGAGATCATAATTAATTAGCAATAAAAATTAATTAAAGAGGAAGAGTTTAGAGTTTAGTAATTATTGGATGAATTAATAAAACTTAATGAAAGAATTAAAGATTACAATAAAAAATTTGAAGAATAAGAAATTTTTATCAAATAATTGTAAATAGAATTAAATGAATCAAGTAATGAAATAAAGAAACTTGAAGAGGAAATCTATATTAAATAACAAGAATATGATGAATTAGATAATGAATTTAATGAAGCTTGGAATGAACTGAATGCATTTAAAAATGATCGATCAAAATAATAAGCTGAGTAAAGGTTGGAAGAATTACAGACAATAATTGCAAATACAAAATAATAATGTATCAAGTTACTCGAAGCTTTAGAAGAGAGTAAGTCGTAATTGATAGATAAAGATAACTAAATTAATTAAAAGCTTTAACTTATAGATAAATTTAATATTAAAATCATGAATTAAACAAGTGAAATACGTTAATTAAAACAAGAAATTTCCAATAATCAGGTAATAATAGAAAATTACACTGAGAAAAATATAAAGCAGGAATAATATATATAAGAACTTTAAAAATCTTTAGAAAGTGAAAAATCTACTTAATAATCTAAAGTAAAAGATAATACAGAAAGTTAAAGGATATTAGATTTATAATAATTAAACATCAATTTGAGCAAAGTTATAGATGAAAAAGTATAGAAATTGGAACAATACGAAAAAGATATTATAATACTTACAGGAAAATTAAGAGAATCAGAAATTTATATAAGAAGCATAGAATTATAGTTTAGTGAATTAAGAGTAAAATATGAGTAATAAATATAATCTTAATCAGTGAATTAAATATAATCTTTCAATACAAATTATACATCAGAAGGAAATAAGGATGAAATTTAATAGAAGTATTTACAACTTTAATAGATGTTTAGTTAATTATAAAGGGATTATTAATAATTATTATTAAACAATTAAAGTAAACTTGAAGAATATGAAAATTAAATAGCATTGTTATCTCTTGAAATTTCTAGATATAGAAATTCATCAAAGAAAGGGACACCTTTGCTTTAAAAAGAAAGTTCATCCAGTGTTAGAACTAGTAGATTCAACCTTGGAGAGTTATCAAGTCCTTATCGTGAAGAATTAAAAACTGAGTAATCAAACTCTAGTTAAATATTTATTTAGCCATAAAATAATACTAAAGTTGAAGAATAATTTGGAATAATGGTATTATTATTTGCTGAAATTGAAGCTTTGAGAATGCAAGATAGTAATAAATAAATAGTTTCAGATGATTAGAATAAAGTCTCATGTTTAATGGACTATTACAGAACAAAAAAAGCATCATGATGTAAACGTATTATATAAATAAATGTAAATTCTATTTTTATATTTAATTAAACAAATTCTATTTTTAACTTTGAAGATAAATCTACTAATTATCTAAGTATGTTAATATATAATAATTTTATATAATATGATAACAAATTTATTTTAGCAAAGTAAGCAAATTCTATATAAAATTGTTAATTTACATCACAATTATTTTTATTTGATTAATTTAATGAAAGCTTTAATATTTGGTGGTTCTGGTGCATTAGGCCGATCAATGGTTAAAGTATTTAAAGGATGGAAAGTGACAAGTGTTGATTTCAACAAAAATGAAGATTGTGACAATATTATTATTGAGAATTCAAGTGATATCAATGTTTTGAAATCTGAATTAAATACATTAGGTATAGTTAATAAATTAAATTATAGAGAAATTTAATTGCATAGTTTGTGTAGCTGGTGGATGGACAGGAGGTTCAATAAAAGATGAAAATGTTCTATAAGTTTATGAAAATATGAATCAAAAAAGTGTAGTACCAGCTCTAGTTTGTAGTCATTTGGCTACTAAATAATTATCTAGATAAGGATTATTAATATTTACAGGTGCTTATTCTGTATTTAATGCACCAACTCCAAGCATGATTGGATATGCTTTAGCTAAGACAGCTGTTCATACACTTGCTATTTAAACAGCAGTAAGCACTCATTTACCTGAAGATTCAGCTGTTATAACACTATTGCCGTATATTTATTAATTATTTTAGAGAAACTATTGATACTCCTGCTAATAGATATGCTATGCCAAAAGAAGATTTTACTAAATGGGCTAATCCTGATTAAATTGCTGGATTAGTAAGATCATGGGCTGAAGGTTTAAATAGACCTAAGAATGGAGCATTTGTTCATTTAAAAGTTAAAAATGGTTCAATTGCACCTGATTTTCTTTGATCATTTTATAAATTTAACATCACAAAAATCACTATTCTATAAAATAAACTCAGCATTAACTTAATCGTTTTCTATAGCTCTTTTTATACCCTTTTCTAATGTATCTTCTATACCACATAAAAAATGACGCTATCCTATTAATTATGCATTAAATTCTCTATCAATAAAGAATTTTTAATCAAATAAATGCTTTAAATCCCATTGTTTTAAAAATAAATATAATCCTTCTACTACAACTATACTATCTTCTTTAGTTATCTGAATTGCATTTTCTACAGGATCTTTGATAGAATGTTCAAAATCTGGGAATGATCCAGATCCTGTTTCTCTTAAATTTGTTAAATCTGTTTTGAATCTTTTATGATCAAATGTAAAGGCTGCTCCTCTTCTTTTTAATCCTTCTTCATTTAAATCCTTTCTGTAAATGTGATAACCATCCATTGGAATTATTTTTGCATTAGGGTATTATTGTAATATTATATTTTTGCAGAAATAGGTTTTTCCAGAACCTGGAACACCTGCTATTGCTACTATAGTTTATTTTCCTTCTTTATGATTTAGTTACATATTAAAAATTTAATATTTAAAATTTTTCACATAGCAAAGTTTAGAAATCATGAATCTATTCTTTATTCCCTTCTTTTATTTATTTTTGGCTTTTATTCTCTTTTAATTATTATGCTTTGGCTAAACCTCTTTTTATATATATCTCTTTAGAATTGCTTCATAATTTTAAGTAAGATATTGGCATTTTCAATTCAAAGTTCTATTATTATATATCAAATAAATTGGATAAAACATTAAACTATTTTAAAATTCTTATCAAATTATTTTTAATACAATATTTTTAAGAAAACTTCTAAGAGTAACTACTTTACATTCAATTGCTACTTCAATATGCAAGATCATATTATATAATAAGACTACGGATCAGATATTTCTACATCTCTCAGTATTTCATCGATAATCCAAAGATAATTAATTAATGTAGTTTATCACAAATAAAACTTTAAATTGATCATTTTTTATTTTATAATTTCAGAATTGTTTATTGAAACATGATAAATGGATAATAATTTTTTCAAAAATTTCAAAGTAATTGTTATACTTAATTCTTATTTTTAAAGGTAATTTATTTCATATAATTGATTTCTATTGTGATTTTAATTCAAATATACATTTAGATCTTTTCTGAATCTTTAATTCTTGATTAGGATTCATGTTTTGATTGATTTGGAAATCATCCAATTTAACTTCTATTAAAATTTTTATTAATTTTTATTAATAATATTTGATATCTTACAATAAGATTAATTCTTTGGATAAAATTTTTATTAATAAAAAATGTTCATATTTTATTATAATTATAATATTGATCATTTCTACTTNTATCTTCTTTAGTTATCTGAATTGCATTTTCTACAGGATCTTTGATAGAATGTTCAAAATCTGGGAATGATCCAGATCCTGTTTCTCTTAAATTTGTTAAATCTGTTTTGAATCTTTTATGATCAAATGTAAAGGCTGCTCCTCTTCTTTTTAATCCTTCTTCATTTAAATCCTTTCTGTAAATGTGATAACCATCCATTGGAATTATTTTTGCATTAGGGTATTATTGTAATATTATATTTTTGCAGAAATAGGTTTTTCCAGAACCTGGAACACCTGCTATTGCTACTATAGTTTATTTTCCTTCTTTATGATTTAGTTACATATTAAAAATTTAATATTTAAAATTTTTCACATAGCAAAGTTTAGAAATCATGAATCTATTCTTTATTCCCTTCTTTTATTTATTTTTGGCTTTTATTCTCTTTTAATTATTATGCTTTGGCTAAACCTCTTTTTATATATATCTCTTTAGAATTGCTTCATAATTTTAAGTAAGATATTGGCATTTTCAATTCAAAGTTCTATTATTATATATCAAATAAATTGGATAAAACATTAAACTATTTTAAAATTCTTATCAAATTATTTTTAATACAATATTTTTAAGAAAACTTCTAAGAGTAACTACTTTACATTCAATTGCTACTTCAATATGCAAGATCATATTATATAATAAGACTACGGATCAGATATTTCTACATCTCTCAGTATTTCATCGATAATCCAAAGATAATTAATTAATGTAGTTTATCACAAATAAAACTTTAAATTGATCATTTTTTATTTTATAATTTCAGAATTGTTTATTGAAACATGATAAATGGATAATAATTTTTTCAAAAATTTCAAAGTAATTGTTATACTTAATTCTTATTTTTAAAGGTAATTTATTTCATATAATTGATTTCTATTGTGATTTTAATTCAAATATACATTTAGATCTTTTCTGAATCTTTAATTCTTGATTAGGATTCATGTTTTGATTGATTTGGAAATCATCCAATTTAACTTCTATTAAAATTTTTATTAATTTTTATTAATAATATTTGATATCTTACAATAAGATTAATTCTTTGGATAAAATTTTTATTAATAAAAAATGTTCATATTTTATTATAATTATAATATTGATCATTTCTACTTTAATTGATCATTTAGGTATGGATTTTCAGAATATTTGTATCTCTTTAACAGTTTTCTTTTTTTACCCCTATAAAATCTGGTTGTGAAAGGTACTATGTATTTCTCAAATATTATTGTTGTAATCAGATTTATAAACATTATTCCAAATAGCCAAAACATCCATTCTTCATCAATTGCAGAGTTTAGATTACTATTTGTTTCAGATTCATAGTCAAACATAAACTAAAAAATAAATAATAATATTTACTCCAAATATATCTTGAAATCCACTTTTTTGTAATAAGAGAATGTATGAATTAAAGATCATTGCTATAGTAATCCATATAGTAAAATAAATATTAGTGTAAAATTCTCTTCTGAATGGTTTACCAATTGAAAAAGCAACACATTGAAATACATATTGGAAATTAGCAAATAAAAATAGTACAGTGTTTTCATAACATGATTCCATTGCAAGATGATCATCAATATCTCCAATATCTTTATGGATATCAACTCCAGATCTATACCAAGATTAATTCTTCATAAAAAAGTAAACAAAAGTTTAAAATCCAATTTATATTAGGGTTTACCCAATTACTGATAATAAAACTGGAAAAGAAATTAAGTTTGATCCTGGTTGAAATTGAGTAAGCTTTTTGTATGCTTTAGTTTATCCCATCGTACCTGCTAAAGGTATAATGATAAATAAATCTATATAAAAGTATTCTAATGATGACATATTTGAAAGTGTGAAATAAAGCAAAGTTACAGTACAAAATTAAATCATACTATACAAAGCCATATACTTAAAACATTAGAAACTAGTAACTAATGATGCTCTCCCTTCTCTTAATAATTTTACAACACAAGAAATATTTTAAATTTTAGAAGTAAATGGAGCAGCTATTGATGCCTCTGCATCAGATAATGAGATTCCAATATCTGCTGCCTTTAAAGCTCCACAATCATTTGCTCCATCTCCACACATACCACATAGAGCTTTTCTACTGATTTTCTATAAATGAGTTATTAGTTAAGCTTTTTATTCAGGTTTCATTCTAGCAAAGATTTAAGCTTTTTCTAACATTAAACCAAACAATCTTCTTGCTTTCGGATTTGTGTCAATTTGATTTAAAAGCAATTAAAATGCTTTTCCAGATATTGCAACTACAAATGGTTAATCTGTTTTCCATGGATCTTAATCATCAATTAGATGATCAAGGTTTTCTGCCTTTAATTATTCTTCTTATTCTTTATAACTTTAATATTTGCTTTTTTTTAAATTCATTGTTTTTCTATTCTCATAACTTTAAGATCCAGCTATTTTATCATTTTCTTCAATGACTATTTCTAATTATTATTATTCATATTGTTTTTCTTATTAACCAAATAACTCGGGTGTTTCAAATTCATCTCCAGAATCATCTTTAATATCTAATTCTGGAGATAAATTTTCTGGATTTAATACTTTATCACTCATATCAAAATCTTTCCAAGTAATATGATTTTTTCCATCTAATTTTTCTTCTGCAATATCTCCCAAAAATATACGTTAATTTGGTTAAACAAGATTACATTGTCGAGCAACTGAAATAGCAGTCAAAACATTATCACCTGTAACCATAACTGTTCTAATCATTGCATCTTACAATGTTTATATAATATTTCTAGTCACAGGTTTTAATTTATTCTACATTATTAAGAAACCTAAGAATGTTAAATTACATTCTGCTTTATCCCGGCTACATTCATTTTCTATCATTTTTGATCCACATGCTAATACTCTAAAACCCATTTTTGAATAATGTTCAAGTATCTTATGAAAACTTCTTGGTACAGTTACTGGATTACATAATTCTCTTAATTTTTCAGGAGATCCTTTTACATGTACTCTCAATTTATTATTTCTTGATACAATTACACTCATTCTTTATAGAGTTGATGAAAAATCAAATCTTTTTAAAATTTAAATTCTATCATCATCTTTAAATACTTCATTATGTAAATCATCTAATTCAAAATTAGTGGCTTCAAACATTTTGACTTCTAAAGGATCACCTATCAAATTATTATTTACTTTAGCCAATCCATGACATGAAGCCATAATTTCTAATATTAATTAAGTTGGTTATAATTAAGTCTATCCATATATATTCTATCCTAAATTCATTGAATACATAACATTTGGTGTTTATAATTCCTCTTTAACATTAATTATTAAATCCTAAAAGCATATCTTTGATTTCTCTATATTATAAATTTTAAATATTTACTATGATTATATCCTATTGATCTCACTCCATAGAGATCAAGACCATCTTCAGTTAATGTTCCTGTTTTATCAAAACACATTATTGTTATTTTCCCTGCTACATTCACTTTATTAGGAGATATACAATAAATTGATTTCTTTGATAATCTTGATAATGCAAATGATACACCGATTGATAAACATGTGGGTAAAGCTGGAGGTACTGTAATTGTAATTAAATCTAAAGAATTTATAATCATTTAAAATATTGTTGTATTATCCTCTTTTAATTCATCTATTTAATCTTTTATTGTCAAAGAAAAACCTACAAAAGACATCATTGCCAAAACTGCTATAAATGATAATGAATCTTTATAAAATGAAAATGTAGTTGGCTTAGGATATAAAATTGATCTAACCAATTATCCTTTTATAGTTTAAAATCCTGTCTATACTGCTAATGCTAAAATTGGTACTTACCCTTTCTCTGGATGTCTACATTCTAAACATTTTGTTCCAGCAAATAAAGTTATTGATTTAGAATCATCATTTGGAGAATAAATAAATTTATTCAATTAAATTGGGTTTTTTATTATTGGTATTGATTCTCCTGTCAACATTGATTCATTTATTATACAAGAACCATTTAATAAAATACAATCACAAGGTACTGTCCAATCATCTCTCACTTCTATCAAATCTCCTGGTAATATTGCTTTTGAACTTAATTTCTATCTGTTATTCATTACTGAATTATCTACTATAATATTCTTATTCTATATTTTTATATTATTTTATCCTCTAAAAATATGTTCAACTGAATCTTATGAAGTCATCTTCCTAAGCTTCTAAAAATTCTGTTTTGTTTCTCTTAATTACACTAATATTGAAATTACTGATGTCAAAAATATAACTACTGCATATTCATAATATTCTTCTATACTCCATAAACCCACACTAAATATTTGAAACAAGTAAAATGGAGTTAAAATTTCATCTATCAAGATTTTCCCTGTACTTTTATCAGGAATCGTTGTATTATTATATCCAAATTACGTAGCTATTTCATCGGGAGATTCTACTCCTCGACAATAATTTTATATAATTTCTTCATGGGTTAATGATTAAAATGGTGTTTCTATTGCTTTAAAGCATTCATCTTCGTAAAAATATGTATACAAACGATAATCAAATGACTATATATACATATATATTATATTATTACCTTACTTTACTTTTCATTCTTATTCACACACATTTTCTTTAATCCAATCTTTATTAGTTCTTTTTCATTCTCTAATGAAGTTATAACTAGATGAGTTGCTTAATCAATGTTAATACATTGACTATATAACATAGCTAGTTTTAATGATAAATTCCATCTGGCAAATAAATATCCAATACCACCTAAGCTTTTTAACTAAATAATATACAAGTCAAAATGCAAAATGAATAATAAAGTAATTTTTTATAGACTGGACTGTTATACGATAATATCTATTTGATTGTTGCTTCCTCTTGTACTTCCTTTGGTAATTAGAAGGAAACTTAATTATATTGTAATTTTGATAGCAATTTTTCTGAGTTATCATTTGATTCTCTTATTTTCATAAATTAATTATACCACACAAGATTCCCACCCATTTATATTGAGATATTATTACGTCATGAAAATATTATTTTAATATGATTATTATTTATTATAACTTTCAAAACAAAAGATCCTTTCTCTCTCTTTTAACTATTTCTCAAATAGGTACTCTCATTATATTATTTCATAACTTTAGCATTCTTATTACAGCTTGTTTAATATTCAAACAATTATTTAAAACATTTTTATTTTAATTTAATTATTTGATTTACCGCTATTAAGAAATAGAAAAATATATTTTATTAATTAATTGCTCATATTAATTTAGATGTTTGTTTTTAATATTTCATTACCTTTCAAAAGTTAGAAGTGATAAACACTTTTCAAATTTATTATTTCTTTCATTTAGTTCATAAACAAAAGATCAAAACTTCATTTCTATTTTATTCATAATTGTTTTACATTAACTAAAACAAATATATAAAAGTAATATCAGATTTTTTTTTAAACTCTAGAGTTTTATTAATTCTTTCTTATTATCATCACTATAACATGATTTTTTATTTATTTAATGATGTACACATAGTTCCTTTTAAATTATAAAAAATATATACTTTCACATGATTATGTAAAGTTTATTAGAAAACTATTTCTAATTTTTCAAAGGAAAGCTTGAGACAGAAAGAAAAAATATAAAATTTATATTAATAAAAGCCCCGAGATATTTTGATTATAACAAACACTTATTATGAATATAAGATTTTAAGTCAAAACAGTCTGATTTTAATCTTTAATTTGATAAATAATTGCTTGTTAGATTACCAACTTAAATAAGGGAATCTCTAAAAATAAGTAAAATTAATTTAAAAAAAGAAAAATTTCTATGCTTCTTATTTACAAATATAACTATTTCAAGTAGTTGCTATTAGTTCAATTAAGATTCATTAAATATAAAAATTTATGATTATTTCTTCTTTTAAGAGCAAATCAATTTAGACATTTGAACATAAAATTATTATACAGATATACTCTTTATAATGATAAATTGAAATAATGGTTATTTAAGTAGAAAAAATGATAGCAATCTCAAAAATAAACTTGACTTCGAGTAAAATTTATTTATTTATTTTTTCCCATAATAATTAGAAAAAAATAAAAGCCCTGAAAGTATTATTAAGGAATAAAATTCAAGAAATAATTTTTATTTAGATGATAATTATAGAATAATTTGTTTCGATAGGAAAAACTAATAGTATAAATATTATTACTTACTGAGTTACATGTGAAAGCATAGAGGCATTTAATGATTAAATATTATTTTTAAGGATTATTTAAGATTTATAATTAATTTTTTTTTTCTAATTTAATTAATTTTAAATCATATTCATTCAGAATTAATACAATTAAAATTATACTTAATACAATCATAGAAACTCTATTTATAATTTTTGGAGATCCAATAATTTAAAAATAAATAAATTAATAATGTAAATCGATCAATTACAGCGCTTTACTTAAATTCAAGGAGAAGAGACTGAGACCTAAAAAGGAAAGCAAGTATCTTTAATAGTTTTCCCGAAAAAGTTTATTAATCCGTGTAATACATACAGAATGAAAGGAGTATCTTTATTGTATAACGATATTTAAGGATTTTCATCTATTTGCAGATGCTCGTTACATTAGATAACATCAAATGCTTAAAATTGGTTTCAGTTGTCAAAATCCTTATAAAAAAATTTCCGAAATAATAGTGGATTAATCAACTGGGACGATCAAATTATGCTATACACAACTTGATTTCTCTGAAACTCCATGGGAATATGTAACTAAAAGATTATAAAGCTTCGGTGATATTTAAATGAAGGAATTGAGTGAATATATCAAGAAGTATTATGAATAACTAAATTCTGGTTTAAAATTAGAAAAAAATGACATTGTATTTCAAAATAAACTAACAAAATATTTTAGATTCCTAAAGAGAACTATAGATCCTTTGGAACATACCAATATAGATATTTAAAGAGTTTAGATCAATTTTTTATATCAGCATTGATCTATGAAATCAAATTAGTTGAAGATTTAGGTTATTAAGTACAATATTTTATTGAATCGTGCATAAAGATTGGAATTCCGGAGTATAAAAAAAATTATAAATAATATAAAGAATATCTTTATAACCTGGATGCACAAATATGAATTACTATAAAAATGTTATGGAGTTTGCTAAACCTTTAACAAAACCAAAAGAAAAGTAAGATTTCTATTTATATTCTTCTCTTTATCCAGAAGTAAGAAATTTTAACTCATTTCTTTAGGGTCTAAAATGTAACGTATCTTTTTCTGTCATCAAAGATCATTCTGAAGCAGAAGTTGACACACTCATAAATTTTAATTTTTATTTAAATTACTAGCCTTCATTGAGTAATAATTAAGCCCTTATGCTAAATAAGAAATTAAAATCTCAAAATTGTATTTCACAGTATTACGAACTCAGAGATCATCATTATTCAAGGTGTGGTTATAAGAAGACTAAGTTGAATAGAGAAGTGTGATTAAGTGTATATATTATAATCCGTTTATGTTACAATTCAATAATCAATAAAATTAAATGAAGAAGTCTTTCTGAGCTAGAACATCCAGTCGAGAGTTTATTCAAGTAAATCAATTTTATTTACTTTAATTAATATTAATATTAATTATTAATTATATTAATGATTTTCTCAACTTTCTTTTTATTAAATTGTTATGCTTAATTAAAAAGTTTAATAATTTATAAATTAAGTTCTCTAAAAACAATCTTTTTCTTCATTGATTCATTATGGTGTTTTTTTATTATGTTTTAAAATTTTTTTATGATTTAACATTAACAAGAAAACCAAAATTTAAATTCTAATTTTATTTTTAAAAATAGGACTTCAAAAAATTGATTCTTAGTGATAATGTAAGTTATTTAAATTGGAAAGATAACTTTTTTGAATCCAAGTTTTTAGTTCTGGGTAAATAAATAAACATTGATTTATTTTTTTTTAATTCTCATTAAATTAAAATATATATTATTTTCAATATCTTAATGATAAGAAAGCAGCAGCCCCTGCTCTAATCCAAACATCTTCATCGTCTCTAGATGGTAATTCAAGTGGCATTACAAAATTTGTAGAATGTCCTGTTGTTGAAAGTGTACCAGCCTAAATTTAATGCAAATAAATTACCCTGGAAACAACTTTATATAGAGGACATTAGTATTTATAAATTTTTCTTTCTTTAGGATCTTTTGGTTGAACTTCAACCTCGGATGGATCAAATGGTAACAAGTGCATCAATGGTAAATCTGAATATAATTCCTTAACTTTTGGTTATGATATCAAATGTCTCTTATAATCCCATCTAAAAATAAAAATTATATATACTTAGTTCCCTCTAAAAAGATACCATAAATATAAACTCCATCCTCTGGTTTATCAGTAACAGCAGTGTGAGTGAGTGTGTCCATCACAATATACTCATACTATAATTTATCAATAGCAATGACATGTTTTCTGGCATAGTTTTGTACCATACCAGTTATGAAAGCTTAAGGAAAGAAGAATCCAGAAATCCAGAAAACTTTAGGTGTACCTTTATCAACCCAATTTTTAAGAAAGGAGATTCTATCAAGTAAATCTTGAGTCCAAGAAGCTAAGGGTTTTAAACTAAGAAATCCTTTTTCTGCCCATAATTGAGGTACTTGATTATCATATAGACTGTTAGATAATTTTTCCATTTCTTCTGACATGACAATTAATCCTTTAAGTGCTTTTTTAACATTAGAGAGTGTAGTTTTCATAATACCTAGTAATCTATTATAACGTATAAGTTCTTAAACTAAAACAGTATTCATAGATTCCTGATAATCAGTAGGATATTTGATTGAAATATCATCAATGTCAAATAGATCAGGAGTCTTAGATTCTACAAAATTAGCTAATTCTTCTATAACATCTTCTCTGCATTTACCTGCTCCTTATTATGTTCTTGGTTGTATAGATTATAGAGTTTCTAAAAGAATTCGAGTTTCATTTTAAGCATTAGTGATTTCAGCATTGCTATGTAATCCAAAGGCTTCAGGTTCAGGATTTAATGGTAATTTTTCAATATATTCGATATAATTTTATCTTTCTCCAACATTAGGTTAATAATAAGTTGGTACTAAAAATTAATAACCTTCTTTTAATGCCTCCTGAGATATATATAATTTAAGAATTGTCTTAATTAATCTAACATCTTTGTCATCAGTAACTCTGCCACCATAATTAATCTCTGCACCAAGATAATTAATAACTTTGAAAGGTATAAGAACGTAATCATCCAGTAAACTTTTAAGTTGTCTTCTACAAACCGTAAGATCTTCATTGGTAAACTCATAAGGAATATTCCATCCTATTGCACCGAATTTTCTTCTTTCTTAAATGATTGCATGAAACAAAGAGAATCCAAAAAGTAGTTTTTTGAAATCTTCTGGTTTTTTGCAATCATTCAATGTTTTATCATCTAATTAAGTATAAGTTCTAAGCATGTTATTTCTAAGACCTTTAGGAGGTTCAAGTGTCATTTTGACACCATTTTATAAGACAATAGTTGGAAATGATTTAGATGGCATTGATGTTAACCATAATCTAAAATCTTTCGTACCTTAATCTTACATTTCTTCGTTTAATTTTTCAAGATCATTCATCCAAGATGTTGCTAAATGACAATTCATTAATAATGCCCATCCACCTCTACCTAAAGCATCTTTAACTAATTTTTCAGCTTTTGGACCTTATCCTTAACCCAAAGAAATTGAATCTATTCTTTTAGTCATATTCATTTCTTCAGCAAATTTCATTAAATCTGCAATTGGATCTGAACCAGGAGATAAAACAAAAATAAGTGGAGTGTTAGGAGTTGAATCCTTATAACATTTACTCAAATCAAATGTAGGAGGAATAATAAACTTCTCATCCATTTTCTCTATAATCCATTTTTAAATAGCTGGAATAACTTTATCACTTCGGATTGCTTTTAGTAATAATATTCTTGAGAAAGAATCTAATTTAATATTCCAAGGATCTGGAAATTCTATTTCTTAAGGATTAGGTGCATCAAAGATAGTTTTAAATTTATCAGAGTTACTCATGAAATCAGATAATATACCATCAAAATTGGTTAATTCTGACATACCATAAATATTCCTATATGTTTCTGGCCATGTATTTTCACTTATCCATTCAGTTGGATTTGGAGCTAATTAGACATCTCCTGTAGCACCTTATAATAAATATCTCCATTCTCCTTCATTCATTTTATGAGCAGCACTTAATATTTTATAGGTTAACATAAATGAAAATAACAACTTGTGTTTCTCAAATAATGATCTACAAACATTTTCATACAACATGTATGTGAAGAAATCATTAAGATGATTTAATCTCTCCTCTAATACTTATGAAGCTGGAGCATTCTATACACCCAAAGTAAATAAATTAATAAACCATTACAAAGAGTATTAATACATTGGATCAATTGTAGATAAATCAATTATACAAAAGAAAAGTAAAGATGCTCTAAATGCAACTGATCTATATGATTCCCTTGCTTCATCAATCTAAGCTTCAGTTATTTTTGAATCTTTCACTCTTTAATTAATTTCTGCTGCAAATTTCTTTGAATTTTATAATTTATTTATTAAAGTTTCATCCATCAATATTTCAGAAATGTCCCCTTTGGTTTCAGATAAACTTCTTAATATACTATCTTCAATATTTACTAATTCTTTTTTATCTTAAGCATTCTTTCTCACTATTTCAGTCTTTTTATTTTCTAAATTCGGATTCTCTAATGCCACTATTTATGCTAACATTTATTCTTCCAATCCTAATGGAGTAATAGCAAAATTAATAATTGTTACTTTTACTGAAGTCTCAGGAGAATAATGAGGATTCGGAAGTGTTGTAGTCATAAAGAATCTAAAACTAAAATTATATTGTAGATTCTTATCTCCAATCTATATTGTAGCAGATGTTCCTGTTTTGCTGATTTATTATAAAAGGATTGGCTCTAAAGATGGATCTAAAGACAATCCAACATTTTCTACCAAAACCCATTTACCAAATTAAATTGCTAATTCCAAAGTTCTCATTAAATTTTGATCTGATTATTTCAACACATCTAAACCTTCTGGTAAATCTTTTCCCATTGTTTTTATGTATTTATTAGCTTAAGATTATGGATCAATCATCAAAGTCCATCTTCTACTTTTGTCTATAATAATACCATTTTCAATAGAAGTGTCATCTTTTGGTAAACCACAAATATTCCATGATTAAATCTTAACTTCATCACCTAAAAATTTTCTCATTGTAATTAAATCAGAGTATGGAATATTGTACTCTTTTAATTTAGCTCTCCAATCTTATTCCATTTTAATACGATATTATGAAACAAATGGTCCAGAATAAGCAACCATTCCTGATGCTATAATTGAATTACCTGGTATTAAACCACCACTATTAGTTAGATTTTCAATATCCTTTGCCCATCTTTCTTTTTCATCACTCAATCCTTCTGTTAACTTTTAAGCTCTTTCCAATTTAACTTCACATTCTTTAATTTTTTTCTATAGATCCTCTTATTATTTCTTCTTATCATCAAAAACTCTTTATAATTCTCTAATTTTTGCATTAATTTCATCTAATTCTTTCTTTTTAATTGATAATTCTCTATTTTTTTCTTCTACAATTTTAGTCATAAGTGCTAACTTTTCTCTCAAAGGCTTTGTTTCAGTATAAACCTTGTAGAAATCATACATGCATTTACACCATCCAAATAAATAACCTGTTGCTTTTGATCCTTAGAATGCATCATTCTAATTAAATTTAGGATGACAAGTAACTTTTTATTCCATCTTAATTATAGCAGATGGATTAATATTTTCTTTATCAAATTTTTCTAGTAACATTGATAACAATGAATTCACATCATTAAGTAAATACTTTTTAGCTGTCTCAAAATAATTCTCTTCTTTCTTACCAATTTAATTAGGCACTGGTTAAGTAATTATTTCACCTCCTGATTTCTTAATGTAATCTGTAGTAAGTATCACAACACCTGCTAATACAACTTTAACAGCTTCAGGTGGAGATGATAAAGATTTTAATTCAACCAAGTGATCTTTTTATAATTCTTTAACTTTTAATAATGTTTAGGCTAATTCTTCATTAGCAACTCTAACTTTTTCGGCTGCTTCTTAAGCAACTTAATTTGCTTCCCTTGCTTATTAAGTTGCTTCAGCTTCCTGAACTGCAACTACTCTTTAAGTTTAATCAGCATCTTCTTTTTCCACTTTTAAATGTTCCATCATTTTTGTTGTTTCAATTTATGCTTACTCTAATTCTGGTTGCATTTTCTCCAACACTATCTTCATCTCTGCTACAGCTTTGTTTGCATCTTATAATTTATCCAAACCATTTTTCAATCTAAGAATCTAAGCTTTTAGATCATTTCTTTTATCTTGTACAATATTAATGTAAAGACT